CGGTGCACCGGCATCTGTGGTGTACAACTGGCAAAAAAGCAACTACTAGCGAGTGATCTACACGCCGTGTCGCATTCTTGCAGTTTCCAGGTGTTCGAGCTAGAGGTTTTGAACACTTGCAAGTGTTGGACTCTGGAATTTGAAAGTTCTCAACTCCCTATAGTGTAGAGCTGCGACGTTCCAACCCTGAGAAGTGTTCATCTTTGCGTACCAATATTTGGCACAATGAAAAGTGTTTTTCAAATTTTCAATATCTTTACACGATATTAAGTCAAATTACACATTTACGAGGGTGTGGTCGGTCTGAACAATTTTTTCACAGTGGAGTGGAGTGGTCTGCTCGTGCTCGGGCAGCTAGGTGCACGCTCCGCCCCGGCGTCTCCCGCGTGTTTTTCCCTCCTGATGCAGCCTAGACCCGGCGGCGGCGGCGGCAGGCGGTGACGCGGATGCGATGAGCCACCCGTTTGTTTGTAAGCCAGGCCGCTTGTGTGCATCTCTGTGGCGGTGGCGTGGCGTGGCGTGGCGTGGTTGCGGCGTGACTTGACACCTCATCGAATCTGGGTCGCGAAGCAGCACCCTTGGGCGTGCGTGCGTGCGCGCGCATTACGTGCCCGCGCAACCGTTTGGAAAATAAAATGTGCAGTAAGTGCCCTGCTCGTATGATTTTGTTTTTGTGATCTACGCGACGACACAGTTAGTTCCTACGGACTTGGTTGCGAGGACTTTGTCTTATCTTATGAGAGGCGGGGAAAATGAATAAGCCAAATGCACACACAACGTGGTGCCGTTTAACTGGTTAAAAGGGCGTAAGTCCACGGACTTTGCATTGGACTTACGCCCTTTTCACTTATTCGCTCGCTTCTTTGTACGCCCCAGAGGAAAAGAGTCAGTGTTGTCGTACGTCGTACACAGTTTGCAAGATAAGGCTGATAACCGAGTCAGATTTAACAATTAAATGTCCGGCTCATTTGTGTGGAGTTGTCACCTCCACGATGACGACGAGGTAATGCGAGCTTGCTGTGGGTACTTATCTGATTGTTGGCCGTGACGTGTGCCCGAGCTTTAAGGGTTGGTCGTTGGTGGAGGAGGAGGAGGGAGGGAAGCCCCTCGAGCAGTCACTTGTACGGCCTCCGCCACCGCGATCCGCCCCGCCCCGGCCGAGCTAGTCCCGCCGCCACCGCCGCCGGCTAGCAACATGCCGAACACCGAACGCCATTCACAGCAGAGCAGAGCAGCGGTGTTGCGGCCTTACTCTGTACACAGCAAGTCACAACTACTATGCCTCGCCATGTGCCAAAAAGAAAGAGAGAAAAAACTGCGTCAATGCTTTCCGGCTTGACACGGTCTGGGTCATTGCCGCCGTGAACTGGTCGGATAGGCAAGCCCGCCACGCACGCCTGTGCGCCAGTACGGTATCACTTCACAAGTGCGTCCCAACGTTTGTACAAAAATAAATAATTTATCTCACAAATATATAGTTAAGATTTTTTTCTCTTTGAATGGAATGTTTTAACAAATGCGACGGCGGCATAATGGAGTGAAAAATCGAATGTCGTCGGCGCAGTGTTGTTGTGCTCCTCTGTTGTGCCCCCGCATCGCCGCCAACACGTTCGGTACGTAAGCGCCGCTGTGCTCGCCCCGGCTAATTGTTCTCCGAGCGCGAGCCGAGCCGAGTAAAGGGTTCGCCCAGCCGAGCCGGGTCGGGCCGGGCCGAGCCTGTCAATGATCAGATGGGTCCCGATGGTTCGGCCGGATGTTGTAACGTTACGCCATGCAGTGCAGCGGGACTTGGGCGGCCGGGGCGGGCGGGCTGCTGTGTACTACAGGTGGGCGTGGCGGGCGGGGCGGGGCCGGGCCGGGCAGGGCGCTCACCACAGCGACCCGTGCGACCAATATCGCTTCATCGAAATCGTTTCCGCGTCTTGCTCACGCCGATAACCGTGCAGCAGCAGGACACGGTCCTAACCCCCTCTCCCCCTTTTCCTCCCCCTCCTCTCCCACCCGGTACTCCTCACGTCTACCAAAGCCACCTTCACTTCTCCGCACGCCCCAATCCCACCCAGAGGTGAAAAAAATATTACTGTAAGCACGGTTTGGCTTTCGAAAATTTTATCACCGTACATAATTATTTTTAACTATTTTTAAATTTATGGTTTTTTACACTATTTATTAATTTGCCGTACACGTAACGTCAGAGCCCGTTTCGCGCGCGCGCCGCGTTCCAGTTGTTCCACGTTCCATGAACGGGACGAGGCGTCGGCGAGGGACCTTGGCGGCGGCGTCGTCTCGTCGGTGCGGGGTGAAATTAAATCGCGAAGCCTCCTGGCGAAGCCCGTATAGCGCGTCGTCGCTTTGTGATGAGGGTCGTCAAATTGCCGTCGACGCGCTGCTCTGCTGCTGCTGCTGCCGGCGAGAGCAGCGCGGCACGTCGATATTTCCCTCTCGGTGCTCCTCTACACCACGCCACGCCCCGCCACGCCCTGCCCCGCCACGCCCCGCCACGCCCGGCCACGTCACGACGCGTTTGGCGAAATGAGCCGTGTAGTTGGGCAAGTTTGAATTGCCGTCGTCGCATCCCACATGGGAGCCGAGTATGTGTGGGCCGTGCCGGGCGAGTGGTGTGGACCTGTGTGTGTGTCGCTGTCGATGGGGAGGGGGGGGGGGGGGGGGGCGTTCCAATACTCCTCACTCAGCGATCGTTCACTACTCCGACCGCATGCATGTGGGGCGGAGGAGGGGAGGGGCGTTTCTCAACCCGTCTGCCGCTCGCGGGGGCGAGCGCTGCGCTTTGCGACGACGGATAGGTTGAAGCGCCAAATGAGCTTCACCGTCGTCGGCTGCGGCCCCACCGCGGGCGCCCCGCATATTGGCGTGTGGTTGCTTCTCTGTCGTCATATTCTCTCCGCTCGGTTCATAAATTTTGCGACACTTAAAAAAAGACTGTTTTTGTTGTTATTGTTTTATTTGCTTTCCTCCCTCCTCTGCGGCTTTGGTATGTGTGTTCTTTCCTCGCGGATTTTAAACGTCTCTCTCTCGACACGACGGTTTCGCGGGACTCGCCAGAGCAATTTCCCGCGCGCACCCCTCGCGCTGCTGTTACTTGTATATTTGTCGAGCGGACCCGAGGGTCCCCCCGGACTTGTTGCGCGCACACATACACTCACACACTCTCTCTCTCTCTCACTCACACACACACTCTGCCGCGGTGCGGCGGGTGAGTCACTGTGTGATGGGATGTATGTATGCGGGATGCGTCCCCGTGGCGGGGCGGGGCGGCCCATGGCATGGCAGGGGCCCAAGGGCGCCCTCCCGCTCCCCGGGCTCCTCCCTCCCCCTTTGGCTAGGCGTTGTCACTCAAACTGACGCCGGTGACGTCACGCGGGCTTTTACAATAAAAGGGACGTGCATGTGCAGCGCTGCACGGCACGGCGTATGGTCGTGAGCGCTGCTGCTGCTGCAGGGCCAGGGATGGAAAACAGTGACATTGTCCTCCTGGCTGGCGGCTGGCGCAGGCAGGCGGGGTCCGCGCCCGCAGGACGCCGCAGTACTCTCCGCAGGACGACCAAGGATGCATAATAAAATGGCGTCAAGGACCACTTCTGACCCACATGCCCGGAATGGAAGCTTGGCCCGGCCCGCCCCGGTCCCCGGTGCGGTGGGCAATGTCATGGGATGTGCCTCGCCCCAAAAGCGCCCCGCCCCAACCGCCCCGCCTCGCGGTCAGCGCCTCGGTCACCGCTCGCCCCGCCCCGCCCCGCTCGACCCCGCGGGCCTCCAAAGGCTTCTCGACCACCACTTTGGCCGGGCTGTTGTTTTGAGTGCCCCCCTCCCCTCCCCTCCCCTGTCTTTCTCCCAGGGTCACGGCCACTTTGTGTGCGGATTACGTGGTGTGTGTGTTTCTATGGGTGTCGCCCGCGTGGTCAACGCCTCTTCTGTCTCCTGCTGCTCAACATAACATACTGACCTTGTCTCTCTCTGTCTGTCTCTGCAGGTGACGCACCGCACCACTGGCCAGGTGATGGTGCTCAAGAAGAACCTCCTCCGGTCCAACAGGCCCAACATGCTGAAGGAGGTGCAGCTCATGAACCAGATGAGCCACCCAAACATCTTACGGTAAGTCGTTTGAAAACATAGACATTTATATTTAAAGTATTTTACTTTTTAAACTTGAATTCGGCCTGTGTTATTTTTTGGCGTTTACCTTGGCTGCTGTACTGTACCATGATGTACCACGGGAGTGCATGACTCTTGACGATGATCCAATGTGACGAAACCAAAGCCTCGTGCACGCGCACCTAGCAGCCATCGACCACCGGGGCGGAGAGGGGACGGAGGTTAGGGGGCCGCATTGAAAAGCGATCGACTGAAAGTGGCTCCTAATGGTGCCTTTTGGCTTCGCTTTTGGCCCGGCGGGCAGGCCGAGCCAGGCAGGGAGGCAGCGGGCGACATGTGCGCCATGGGCGGGGTGGTGCGGGGCGCGGGGCGGGGCGCAGATGATGGGGCGCCGCCTCCCATGGCCCATGGCCCGTGGGCCTCATGACGGTGACCTTATGCTGCCCGCATGGCGGCTGGCTACCTGCATTTTGCCTGCATTGGCCTCCTTGCGCGGCGGGCTTGGGCTGCCCATGGCGGTGGCATTGCGACACGGGGTGGGGGGAGGCGCGTCCCCTCTCCGTATGCACTCGATGAGACGCGCGGGCGGAGGACACGCCGCGCCGGCCGGCCCGGGGGGCCGTGGCCCCTCATCTCGAATATTGTGTGTGGCGGGCGACGGAGGGGCGGCGGCGCAGGGGGGCAGCAAAGCAGGGCCGCCCCAAGTGGCGCAACTGGCGTGTTTGTCCGTCTGCACCACGGACGGCGGCCTGCCTGCACGGCCTGCACGCGGCGATTGGGCCATTGTGTGTGTGTGTGTGTGCGGTCCTCATATGCGGCTTGCTTTGGGAAGGGTTAGGAGGTCGTTGACTCGCGGGGAGGTCGAGTGTACATACATACATGTGATGTCACTCGGTCGCGGTGCCGCCGCCGGGCCTCTCTGTGTGCTGCCCATACAATTCCATAACCTCACCTCTATCAAAGCGACACATCATGGCGAAGGTGGTGAAGTAACATGTACAATACGACAGTGAGAAGTTAATTCACAAGGAAAAAAATTCGTCCCCTGACTGACCCCCCCCTTCCCCTTCCCCTCGGGATAGAGCGAGTATGCTCTGCTCCTTTGATAGAACAATAACGCGATTTTTCCGCGTCGCCGGTCACCCCGCGGCGGACGCGCGCTGGGTTTTCCCCGCGATGCATCTCGCGCGCGCGTCTTCTGTTTTTTCCTCGGTTTGATTCCTCCTCTCCCTTTTATAATTTTTTTTCTCTTCTTCCTCCTCACTCGCTGTGACGGCGAGGGTCCCAACTCCACTTTATATTCCGCGGCGAGCGCGCTGGCTGTCCGGGCGGTCTGCACGGGCGACGCTGGCGGGGCGGGCGGGGCGGGGCGGGGCGGTGCAAGGCAGGCCAATAAGCTCAGACACTCGCTCGCCCCAGACGGCCGAGTCCTTTACCGCCGCGACGCGCCGCGTGTGGTCCTTGCGCTGCTGCAGCGCGACCAGACACCGGTGCGGCTGCCCCGGCTGCCCCGGCTGCCCCGACTCTGCCCGCGCGCCTGGTACATATTCCGTATCGAGTCAATTCGCGCGCTCGGCAATGAAAGTGCCTGTTGCTGCCCCCTCTCCTCTCCTCTCCTCTCCTCTCCTCTCCCTGCTCCTTACCCATCCCTCTCTCTCTCTCACTCACTCCCCCTCTCTCATTCTCTCTCTCTCTCCATCATGCCCCCCTCTGTCGCTGCTTTGCTTTTTGCTGCGTGATGTGTTGTTGGGAGCCGCAGCAGTCGCAGCGATGGCCGCACACACCTCTCTCTTCTCTGCTCTGTCACCGGTCACCGGCCGTACCGACCACTATGGCCTCAACGCAATCCTTTAAATACGCTGAATTGCCGCGCAGCTTTATGATTTTATAATTTACGGTGCGGTGCCTGATGGAGTCGTAAATGAATCAATGATTCAATTCTATTTTTGCTTCAAAATAGGTCCCTCCGTCCTCCCTGGCTGTTAACTTGCTTCGTTTGGGACCTTTCCTGACGTTTATCTCAGCATTGGTGGGAATATTTTCCTATATCGACGAAAATGATCGTGGTGTTCTTATCTTTAGTCCAATAACTTTAAAAATGAAAGTGCCCGCGCCGCCCCGCCCCCGCCGGTAGCTTCGAGAGTACCTCTCCTCGACTCTCCGACAGTATCCGCCGCGCGACTTATTCCTGGCTCAAATGCGCAGTGTCCGAAAATGATAAAACCTGAAATAGTTTCCCGGCGGGCCGAGCGAAGCAGCGCGGTATCGGGGCCGACCGATCGCGGCGGCGGCGCGGCGCTGAGCGGCGTGGTCGCGCGCGGGGTCGGCTGCACGAGCCGCGTCGTGCGCACGCCGAGGCGCCGCCAGGGCGCAGCCGCTGCACCGCGACACGCGGCCTGACTTGCTATTTCAGGTTGCGCCCCGCCGCCACGCTCCGCAACGCCCCGCCACCTTCGGTATGAGAGCATGTGAAGGGGCTAAAAGACTAGACAAACGGCTTAAAGGCCGCCGAATCGTGAATCGTGGGAGAGGGGGCGCTGCTATGCATGCTCGCGACTAGAGGAGAGGCTAAACTTTTTGAAATCCCCCTTAGTAGACTCGTGAAATCCGGTGAAATCCCTATGATGAAATTCTATTCCACTACCTGAAACTCGATGGATTTCCTATGAAATCCCATCTA